GTTATTATTATTTGCATTATTTGGTTTGACTGGGTTTAGCTAGTTGGTACTTGTGCTGCATATGCTGTGTTGGAGACACAGGGCTGTGTTTGGCCAAGAGATTTACTTGATTAGAGCAACCAAGATGACATTATTTATATGTCTGTTGCATAAACTAGACTTGCTGTAACTTCTGGTCCTGAATAAAAGATTTTCTCCAAGTAAATATAGCTGAATCTCTATATATCCATTCAGGACCCCACAAGACTGAAAACAGAAGCTGTCAAAAATTCAAGTGCTGGGCACACTATCACTTGTGCTTATTTTATTAGCTAAAAGGAGTCCAAAATCCAGTTGAGTCAAAGCCCAGGCCAGATTCAACAGAAGGAGAACATACTCTACTTCTGGTAGGAGGAGGAGAATATATATAAATATTGTGGAGGAACTGCTTGCAGCCATCTTTAAAAACAGTCATAAGATTCCACACCCTTACTCTGTTCAAAATGCTTAGTAGCCACTCACTCGAAGATTCCTCACTCTAAGTCCCATCTCACTTAATTTCCTTGACATCATCCTCTAAATCTAGTCTAGACCTCCACTGAGCACTGTAAGCATCGCTTCTGCTAATCTGAAGACATAGGAACCCAACAGTCTCATTTCATCATCACATCATATAGATAACACATTGTGATGAGACAGAGACAGGAAAATTGCCATATTTGTAATTTAGTAAATGGGACGCACAAACTTGAAATCTCTCTAAATTTTGGAAATATCTTTGAATATTCCCAGCCAGAGAATGTGTTTTGTTCACAGACCATTGCTTTGGCTCATTTTTCTAAATCCTTGCAGTTCCCTTGTGTCCTGTGGGCCAAACTCATCCTTGTTCCTTGTGTTTGTATTTGGGTAGCTTTCTCTTCCTGATTTCTGCCTGTGCCTACACTGAGGGGGGTGTCCAAGTCACTTTGTTTTTATTTTTTCCTTTATGACCTTTCTCCCCTTTTATTCCAAGCTGGCAGGACTGTTACAGGAAAATGTTGTTTAAGGCATTGCAAATTGCAAGATTTCTATAAATCTTATTCATATTTATGTCATGACCCCAAAGTCACAACTCATCATCCCTTAGACTTAGAAATGTTATGCTTTCGGGAAGAATGGAAGGTTCTTCAAATTCCTTTTGCCCGATGGAGAGCATCTGCAGGTCACTACCCTAAATCTTTTTGAGGTCCTAATAGTCTTGCAGCCCCATCTTTCATCGGGGCTGCACCTTGCCCTTGGTTTTCTTTCTTTTGAGATCCTTTTCCTCATTGACATTTTTGGCCAGCTGCAGAGGGCTATCCTGGATCTTCTAAGTTGCTTTATATAATGGTTTGAATGTAGACCAATTTTCTATGAATACCATAGAGGAGTAAAGTAAATTGCAGTATTCTTTGGGGGCAATCTGAGCTTCCAAATTGTATAGGTACATTTTCTATTTTTCAGGTTATTGCAGTAACCTAAATTGTACCCTGATAACATGGTATCCTCTTCCTCCTGCAACCAGCAGCAGCTTCTTCATTGGCTTTTCAGTCCCTTCAAGTTTCCAGACAAACCTTCGAGTCTCTGCCTACCACCAGTTGCAATAGAAGGTTAGATTTTGGCTTCTAGAATAATAGCCCTTCAGTCATCATACCATCTTTCTTTGGTGGTGGTGGGCGATCCGTTATCCTTTCCTGCAAAATGTATCATTCTAGAATGTTTTGACAGGAAATAACAATGACAGACAACTGTTGTGATTTTGTGGGTTGGCTGTTCTCAGCCAGGAGATTCTCTCATTCTCTGTAGCATTGATGGGGCCATGGATGTGGGCATATTTATCTGGGAGTGGGGAACTGCACTGTCTACCGCTATGTTTTACTGATGTAATTATGGTTTCAGTTCTATGAGAACATTTGCTTGGAGCTGGCTAAGTAATGTAGTCTGAGATTTTACAGGATGGCTTAGGGCTCCAAACACAAGTCAAAACTGTCATTCCCCTTAAAAGCAAGGACTCCTACCAGTGTCACGTTTTCTGCCTTGTGCTTGCCAAATCAAGTCACAGACCAGCTCAGATTCAAAGGGGGAGAGAGGCCAATTTTAAATGGAGGAGCAGTAAGAATATACAGAACAGGAAATACTGACAGGTGTAGTCAGAAGAAATTTACTTCAAATGTAATAATCACCTCAAAAGCAACAAGGTAATGGGAGAGAGGAAATTGGAGCGCATCAATTTAGACAGGATGGATAAGAAAGGTTACTTTGGGTGCTGAGGATGACAACAAAGTGGTTATTCAAGGCAACAGAAGACTTTAAGAGCCGAAGAACCAGTTAAGCAATCATTATGGAGGGTTGTAGAGACAAGCTTTAACTTAGAATAGGATTATGATAGTGGAGATGGAGCAATTAAAACAGAATCAGAATTTAGTTGTGAGTCCAGATTGCTGTTACTGATCAAGATACATGCAGGGTTTGAGGGAGGCAGGGATGCCAAGGACAACACTCTGGTTTTCTGGGTTTTATATTTGTGTATGAGTGTGTTGGTCCTGGGGCTTGAACTAAGGACCTGGGTGCTTAGCTTATTTTCCTTTTGCTCAAGTCTAATGCCTTACTATTTGAGCCACTGCTCAACTTCTGGATTATTTGGTCATGAATTAGAGATAAGGATTTCACACATTTTTGTGCCCAGGCTGGCTTTGAACATGATCCTCAGATCTCAATCTCCTTAGTAGCTAGAAGTACAGACAAGAGCCACTGACACTTTGCTTTGAGAAATGGTATTTGTGATCTTCCTCTTAATTTGTTTGCAAAAGGGATACACACTCATATTTGGAAATGTTGATTAAGAGGGACCATAGAAACATAAGAGTAGAAACTTCTGGTAAACAATTAGTAATGTGACTATAATCCATAGGAAACATCAAGTGGAAGATGGAAATTTCGGAGCCATCAGATTATAGATTCAACAGACAAGATTCTAAATGGGTACACCTACCACTTAAAATGTTATTAGTTTTCTTTACAAGTGCATACAACAAACTCACATTAGACCAAAAAATGCGACAGAAGAAAAATACATTCTTTTTCATATACAATGATTTCATCATCTCATTTGGATTATAATGATTAGCTTGTCACTATTTTTACTTAAGTACATTTTCTTTCCTACTTTTAACTTTTTTATAGTTAAGGATTCAAATAATGAACAGATTTTAGGAAAAAAGTCATTAAAATGATAAGGAACCACAACTGTTGCCTGTCCAACACCAGCACCATAAAGTTGCTGAAAACACTACTGACTTCATGTTGTATGTACGGAGTGCAAATACATGGTGGACTAGAAATATTATATGTAAAAGAGCAAGTACTCAATTATAAAAGAAATGAAGATTGTGATACAATCCTGTGTAAGATCAGAATGTCATTTTAAAGCTGGCTGATTTATTAAATGATGTTGGAAAAACTAATCACTTGAGAAAAATAATGATGTTAGCATTTTACCTATGAAGCAAATAAATCCTAGAGCGTCTGAATACTAAAAATTATAATCATGGAAACATAAAAACTGTAGGGAAACATTCATTTAATTCTAGGGTAGCGATGTCAAAGAATGTCTGAAAAGCAAGAAGTTAAAAGGGATCAGTGGGCAGATACATGTGAATATAATCTTATTTCTAAAATGAAAGCATGAAAAAATTATAAAGCAAAAGATGGAGAAAAATATGAGGGACTAACTCTTAAGTAGTAAAATACTATCCTGGTGGGAGCTCTGAATTCAAATCCAAGTAACACAAATTGAAAACAAACAAACCAACCAACAAAAAATCCTCATATTAGTTGGTCACTGGTGGCTCATACATGCAATCCTAGCAGCAACAGGAAAGTCTGTGAGGCTCTTATCTCCCACTAAGGACCAAAAAAGCCAGAAGTGGAGCTGTGCCTCAAGTGGTAGAGCACTAGTCTTGAGAGAAAAAATTCAGGGACAGTGTCCAGGCTCTGGGTTAAAACCCCAGGATTGCCAAAAAAAAATAAAAACCGAAAAAATAAAAAAACCAAAACAAACCAAAAGCTCTCAATAAAGTAAGAAATGACCCTTCTAATAGGAGAAAATATAAAAATATGAAGAATTATAGTGGAAAACCAAAATTGTTCAATCTCTTTGAAGGTTGACAATTGTAAAGTAAAATAGCAAAAAGTCAGTTTGTATTCTTAAACAATACTTTAAAAAAAAGTTCTATTTCGGTCAAATGTCTATTCTCAGTGTTTGACAAACTCTAATTTAAACTCTGATTGTGAACTGCATAGAACACAAGCATAATGAGGACAATAATTTCTGCAACGTGAACTTTACTTTTCCAACTCTAAGAAAAGTTGAAATAATAATTATAAAAGACACCAGACTTTTATGCAAAATTATGGTCATTCATGATGATAAGTGCTAAGTAATGTATATACTATTTGTAGAGTGCCACTTAAGTCATTTAAGTACATATACAGAAAGTCAACTAGAAATATTTTCAAAATATTTGTATAGGTTAACGCTAGGCATAAGATTAAATTTCTATTTTCTCATTTATTATTATTTCATGCATAATAAACATGAAGACTACAGATAATTTTATCCCACTGAAAGTATTTACAACTGAAATTTGTTGAATGGTAACTACTTTGCACAACTACTTAAAAACTATAAAAAAATTAATAAAAATTACAATATATTTTACAGGGGTGTATCATTGGCTTACTTCTCTAATCCTATCTCTTCAGGAAACTGTGACTTGGAGCACCACAGTTCAAAATCAGGCTGTGCAGAAATGTTTATGACACTCCAACTCCAAAATAATCAGAAAAAAATAGCCTGAATTCATTATTCATGCCAGTAAGCTGAGCAAGCACAAAGCCCCGAGTTCATTCACTAGCACTGACAAAGCAAAGTAAAATCAAAGTGATTTACAAATAGAAATATATGTTAACTCAGGATCCATGAACCATGTTTCTATACTCACTCTCCTAGGAAAACAATCTCAGTGTTGATTTCCCCGGCCTTGTGACGGAGAAAATTCCTCAGAAAGGCAGTGACGCTGTCAACAGTGATGTTTCCACAGACCACGATGAATCTAGGCAGTGAGAACAGGAAGGTAGGTCATCTGAGGAACAGAAAGTATATCTGTATCCTGTCATCTATAGGGAATGGATTCTAAGAACCCCAAGTATAACCAAATCTGCAGGTGCTTAATGTTCCTCATGTAAAATGGCATAATACTTACATACAATCTACACAATATTCCTCTCTATATTTTAAAAATAATCTCTAGATTACTCATAATATTTATTAAGATGAGAATGCCATATGGTATAAGGAACAGTGAGACAATGAAAGCAAATCTGTACAATTCATTTCAGATATAATTGTTTGTGAATTTTTAAAAAATCTTTCCTTAACTGATTCCATGGCACAGAACCCATAGAGAAGATCGCCTATAGCCAGGGTTTAGAGACAATTAGATTAAACTTGGTTGTAAATAAGTCTGAATGGCCCAGCTTTCAAAACCAGGAACACTAAAGATTCTTATCTTCTACATGAAAAAAAAGCATTCATTTTGTGTAGTATTCTAGCTCACTCTCAAAAGGGCTTGACATCAAACTATCTATTATATACAGTTTCAGAAATGTGATTGTTATTGCTGGATTTGTCATAGTTATTTGTAATTTACAATGGACTTACTGTAGCATGTATGCTCTCCTTGTGAACTCCGTTATTCACAATTTAATAGCATTCTTTGGAGAATTTATCTATTTCCCTCTCTCCTTTCTCTTTTAATTCCATTGCTTTCTCTGGAGCTCTTTCTCTCTCTGTGTTATTTAGAATGACATAGCTCATTTAATGCTCTCATGAACATCTACATAGTAACTCATAGCAAGCATGAAACATTGTATTTGTATGGTGTTTATTCTAGTATTGCCCTCTTTAGTAAATAAAGGGTCTTGCCAATATATTCAACTGTGGTTCTGTAACTAGGGTAGGCAATAGGTGTTGAGACTGAGATCCATGAATAATGACACAGTTAAAACTGTAGAAATTGTTCATGAAACACTACTTACTTCTTCCCTTTCACAACTTGGTAAGACGTGGTGAATTTCTTCTTGTTAGCAAAAAGTTCTACCATTTCAGGGACATAGTTTGCAAATAGCACCTAAAATGATCAACAAATGAAATCGTAGGTCTCTTTATTCTGATGGATATTGAAGAAAGAAGTTATATAAAATTTCCTCTTATTTAGCATGGGTTATGATAGAGAACAACATTTTAAAAAGGAGAACATTTGTCTTCCTTATGTTTCAGTTTTCTGATTTGGTTAAAATTTAATAAATGCTGTACCACATTTGAAGTAATCAAAGCAAAGGCAAATAGTAAGATAGCTTTCCCTGCCAATTTTGTCTCCTTTTGTGATTTATACCTTTCTTCTTAGTGTAAAATCACAACAAGTGATTTTATACTTATAAAATTAGAATAAGTGATTTTAAATTATTTGAACCTTGAAAAGTCACTAAAGGAAAGTTTCCTTTGTTCTTGATACCATTCTGAATCAAGCACAGATGTCTACTTATCATCAAACATGAGTGTCATGAGTCTTACTTGTTTGGCATGGATGGAACAGAACTTTCTTTAGATCACATCTCAAATGTCTTAAATATCTTCCTCTTTAAAGACTAAGTTGATAGGCAAAGATTAAGAAAGACAAGTTCTCTCAAATAAATATAGAGCCTAATAAGGAAAATAGGCCCCTTTGTCTACCATTCTTGTCCCAGGAAACTGAATAATTGCATTATTGACTCCAAGGGACATAATTTGGAAAATGCAGAATCTATGCATCTTTAGTATCATATGATACCTCCATTGAATAAGGCAACATTCACTCTCAAACCTACGTTGCCTTATTTTTCATCATTAACCAAATGCTTTTTCAGCTTATGTAGCTATATTCAAAAAAGAATAGGAATATTCTTCACCAAGCTGCCCAGGGTGAAGAACATGATGAAGGCCCGTCCTAGGGATGTCCTAGCCACCACATCTCCAAAGCCAACAGTGGATGTTGTTGCCACAACCAGGTAAATGGAGTCAAAATATGACATGTTCTGTGCATTTCTATCTTTGAGCCAGGGGTCACCAGAATTTTCTACCTGTCCAAAGAAAGAAGAATTAGGTCTATGAATGGAATGAAGCATTTTAGAAAGACTAGGCAAAATATTGGATTGATTTCACTCATAACTCAATTTAATAAAAGGTCACATGCTAATCAGCCTGCTGTGAAAGTTTTGAAAATCGTGGATAGTCGTTGTAAAGCTTGGTGTCTGAAGGGTAGTGGCTTGTCTTCAGCATTTGAAATATTCCACAGGAGAGATGTGACCCTACCTGTCTCTTCACAAGGCACATCATCACTATGGTATCCTCAGCCAAGAGACTCCAGCGATTCTCACACATTCTCATTTTGCAACCAGATTAGGAACACCATAGAGGGAAATAGTGTGAGCGCATCATTTCAGTGAGCTGTGATATGTCCAACCAAACCAAACCAGACTGCCAAATAATCTCCTTTTCTAGGCAAAAATCTTTCCCATGATTAAAAAGATAATTCCAGATGGTCTATATAACACATAATCATTATTATACATGATATATACCATGTATCATTTGTCATAATATTTATGCTTATACACAATTTGTAAGTATATATAATGTTCCTTCCTCTTTCCTTCCCTCCTTCCCTTCCTCTCTTCCTTTCTTCCTTCCTTCTTTGTTTCCTTCCTTTTCTGCTGCTGCTTCTACTTCTACATATTTTTTTGGGGGGGAGAGGGTGTGGGTAAAACCTAGGATTTCACATAAGCAAGTACTCTACTACTAAGCTACACCTCAGCACTGGTGTAGCTTGACTTTTTACATTTGTTTTAAATTCAAGAATTCTCCAACTTCCATGAAGATTTAGCAGTAAACACTACCTCTTGCATATACTTTTACATTGAACTAGGTCTTTCCAAAGAGTAGATTTGGGAAGCTGGAAGAAGGAAAGAGATACCTTCGATGTGGGAGTCACATAATTAAGGCAAATATGAGGTTGGAAAACAACCTAGAAGGAGGAAGTAAATAGTTAAACCTCTGGTTTCTGCATGCTTTTCTCCATTTCTCAAAGGAAGGAGGCTCATACTGACAAATGCTATGCTAGTTAGCTTTACATCTGTCAAATACCCATGATAACCACTATAAAAGAGGACGTTTCTTTTCCTTATGAGTTCAGTCGGTTCAGTCTATGCATTGTAGTGGCGTGGAGATGTGATAGGGACGCTTATTTAACTCTTGCTAGGTAGGAAGCAGAGCAAGTACAGGTACCCAGGCCATACCTCCTGGGACCTAGTTCACTTTTTTCCAGGTAGGCCTCATCTATTAATGTATAGCTCCACTGGAAACCAAGTCTTCAATACATGAACCTGGGGAGGATACCTCATATTAAAATTGTAAGAGTTGCTGGTACGGATCATAAAGAGATACATACCAGGTGAATGAATCCAGCAGCTGTGAACCAGGTACTGAGAATTATTGCTAACAGCTTGGAAAGTTTCACTGAATTACTAGAGAAAGAAAGACAAAGAGCTATTGTGTATCCTTATGCAGCTCCCAAAACAACATAAATACACCCTCTGAAACCTTGCTTGCTGCTCATAGTGGGGTTCAGATAGAAAATAATAGGCATCACCTGAGCTCATGAGAAATAGACTACTGTCAATCTGCATTGTTACAGATCTTTGCTTAATTCAACACATTAGAGTATGAAAAACACAACTCTAAAATTTACATATTCTCACAAAATATTAAAAACCTGTAGATTTTGATTTTGGTGCTATCTGCTAGCCTGGTTTTACATAGCTTTAAATATTAAGAAATAAGATGAGCACCTGTGGCTCACGACTGTAATCCTAATTACTCAGGAGTCTAAGAACTGCAGATTGTGCTCAAGGCCAGCCTGAGCAAGGAAGTCCATGAGCCTCTTATCTCCAAATAACCACCAAAATAGTCAGAAAGCTGTGTCTCAAGTAATAGGGCTCTAGACTTGAGCAAAAAAATCTTAGAGACAGTACCTGGACCCTGAATTCAAGCCCCAGGAACAGCACACCCAATATAATATAACATAAATTTGATAAATGATTATTTTGTCTAAAGTAATGGTCCAAAATGTCAGCAGCTCATGGTATGGGCCTGACCTAAAAAATAAATTTTTTGTAGATTACAAAAATGTAGAGTCATTCAGATTGCTGAAATTACACCAGCATCTTTGAAGGAAAAAAATCAGGTGGCCAAGTCTACCAAGGATGTTCCTAGATTTTAGGTGAAATCTCTATGGCTTGCAGGCAGGACACATGTAGGTTCTTTCTTTTTTCTTTTCTTTCTTTTTTTTGGGGGGGGGGGGGGGTCCATTGTGGGGTTTGAACTTAGGGCCTGGGTGCTATCCCTAAGCTTTTCTGCTTAAGACTAATGGTCCACCATTTTGAGCCACAGCACCACTTCCAGTTTATTGGTGGTAAATTGGAGATAAGACTTTCCTGCCTGGGCTGGCTTTGGACTGCATTCCTCAGATCTTACCCACCTGAGTAGCTAGGATTACAGGCATGGACTTCCATTGCCAGGCCTAGCTATCATTTCTTACTCAAACCTCTCCACAATGCACACATTCTCAGCAAAGAGATCCATTGGACAGCATTTACTATTTCTAATGAGAATGTATAGACATTTATGAGGGGTGACAGACAACTGCTTGAAACTATAGAAATATTGTAGTTTTTCCCTCTCTCTCTCTTAAATTTGATGTTTGAACTAGAGTTTAGGACCTCACGAGGGCTGGGCATGTGTTGTACCACATGTGTTGTACAGTTTCTATAAGCAACAGTTTACTGCTACTAGCAGAAAGCTGTCATGCTCATAGAAATTGTTACATCTCTGCCTACAGAAGCATTTCTTATTTTATCTAACCAAGAGAACAAATGTACAGGAACAAAGTCTCTGAGTTGGCTGATTATTTTCATGGGGGGCATGGTGGAGACTTAGATTTAAAACCCAAATAGAGTTATAAACTGTAGCTTTGCTAAACAAAAAATAACACATCTCTTTAGAGTGATTGCACAGTCTTCAGCCACTGTGTGATATAATACAGTAGGAGGAATTGAATGGCATCACAGATGACATACTTTTTGCACTGAAATTCTGGTGAGATATAGTGGTTTTGGGGGTCCAGTTAATATTTTAACTTTCTAAACCAAACTACTAAGCAAACAGTATGTTAGACAGGGTTGGTGCTTACCTGGTCTTAATGACTTGTAGAATTTGCAAGATTTGAGGCAGTTCTAGCAGCCTTAGAGCTCTGAGGAACCTTAACCCTATAAAACAATGAAAAAGGGTAAAGCTGCCAAAGGAAGAGGGTCGTTCTAGAAGTAGCCTGACTTGCTACACTCCCAGAAATGAAAGATATAATATGATATAATAAATATAGTGGTGTATGATACTATGTAATACTAGAGATTACTATATTACATCATATTGCACTTTTATTATAATTCTGTAGGATAAAGGGCACTATCTCTGACACTTGTTAGCTATTGTTACCTAAAGCAATCTCCTCAATTTAGCTTCTCATCTATGTAGTGGGATTCAATAGTACCCCCTCATATAGCTATAGAATTAACGAAAAGCATGTGGAAGCACATGTCACGTATAATCAGCACTCTTCATTTCATTCTAACTCTTCTTCAGAATTGAAAACAACATTTCCCTAAAGCACTTAAACACCTCACATATACAATCTTTATGAACATAAACTCTATGCTATGATTCTCAGCATTATAGGATGTTTTCTTTTATGTAGTTTTGCTAATGATGACACGAGGGGATGGAATGGGGTTATGTTCTATAAAACAGAATTAAACCAAAATAGAAAATGACACGACACCTGATCAAAGCTACTCAATGGCTATTCACAGTTACCACAACTATCTTAAAGATGAAACAACTAAATAGGTCCCAAATATGTTTTATAGGTCTAGAGTTGATGATCAGCTTTTATAGACCAGGAGTTGTTTTTATATCATAGCCCATATGAAATCCCAGCACACTGGTGTCATAGGGGAATAAACTGCTGGAGCCTTGCTTTCTAGATTATGGATATAGCTATTCTATAAATAACTATGATGTCCCTACAAATACTGGGTGCATTGCTATACTCCAAGGTTAACAAATAGCCTCTGCAAATGTATGCAAAACCATACTATGAAGGGGGAGGGATTTTAAAAAATATTTTAAAAATTATCATTAAATAGATATAAAAAGACTTCAACATGTCAGTTTATGAGTACAATATCTTAATCAGTGTTACACTGGCCATCATTCTTCCCACATCTGTTTATTACTTTCTTTCTTTTTTGTCGGTCATGGGGCCTGAACTTTGGGCCTGGGCACTGTCCCTCAGCTCTTCAGCTCAAGGCTAGTGCTCTACCATTTGAGCTACAGCGCCACTTCCAGCTTTTTTTCTGCTTATATGGTGCTGAGGAATCGAACCCAGGGCCTCATGCATGTAAGGCGAGTACTCTACCACTGAGCCACCTTCCCAGCCCTCCTCCCCATCTGTTTAAACCCCACTTATCCCCTTTAAGTTTCTTAGTTTCCTTTTCCCATATTCACCCACCATTCCTTTCTCCATTCATCCACCTGCTCCCCAGTGTCAGTTTCATGGTATTTCTTTTGTCAAATTAACAGTTAAGTTTTCAAAGGAGTTATGGGAATCCATCCCTGTTCATACCACACTTTTTTCAGTTTCATTGTGTTTCTATGCATATGGCCCAGGGATTTCCTTAAATATCAGTGAGGCATTTAAAAATTGAATACTTTTAACCAAATGTTGAACCTTTCTTCTAGACCCTGTAGTGACTCTCACAACAGACTTACCTAGCCAATTACTCTTCAAATAATAAGAAATAAAGGCTGGTGGGACGGTAAAAATGTCCACAATTGAATTCAGTTCCACCCAGAACTTGATCTTGTCACCAGCTGCCAAAAACTATGAAATAGAAAATAACACCTAAAATTCTGTTACCTTAAGGAATTTTAAAGTGAACACAATATGAAAATGATATTTTTCAGTTACATTTCATTCACTTGATTTCACTTCATTTTACACATATGCAAAAACATACATCTTTATGCAAAATACAGATGCACACATAGACACAGAAATTGTGATTTTAATTGGTGTTCAATAAATGAATACTGAGCTTTTTGCTGCTTCTAAAGTTTTCTGATTTATATACATACATATAAAATTATACATATGTATATAATATATGCATAGATTATATAATGTACATAATTATGTATATAAAACCTGCTACTGTGAGGAATGAAGAGATTTGACTAATGGTGTTTCTCAATAAAGAAGGTGCATCTCTCTAGTTCAGCTGGTCATAGCCCCTATGAGCTTCCTTATTTAGAGTAAGAAATATATAGTTCCAGAGTCTTACTTACTATAAAAGGAGATTTTGACCATCCACGTGTTCAAAGTTTTAGGAAGCTCACAGAAAAAAATATACATAGATACACATACAAAGATATGTATACAAGACATGTTTACATATATTAAAAGTCTTGTTTTTGTATGTCTACAGACATGGACATATGTGTCTGTAGGTAAGCAGACATATAAACAGATAGGTAGAAGTCTCTCTCACCATTATATATATGAATATATTAAAATCTAGATCCAGGGAGTGCTTAATAAATGCTTCCAAAATAAGGGAGCATTTAATAAATACTAACAAAATATGAAACCAAAGTGCACAAGCACTTTACATAGTTGAGTGGAACATATGCCTTTATTGTAAGCATCAACTCTTCTGGGGACTTGTTATGCTTGTTCTAATAGCCTGTGATTACTGGTGAAGCTTTCTCTGTGGCAGGTGGAATACCATAGAAGGCTATTATGACAGGTTTTCAATTGAGTTGGAGAGAGGACTCGGTCTCATTGCATCTACTGAACAGCTAAGAGCACAGACCTTTGATCCTTAGACCCTTCAAACCTGGTTAGATTATGTAATTTTGCTCCTGTTGTATTTGTGTGTTTTCTCCGACTTCTCATAGGTACTTACTCTTAACCCAAAATAGAAACTAAAGAAAGCATTGAAAATCAAATCAATGGGTATTGTTATATCGTCATATGAAGAACAGCTTCCAACAGGGCTGGAAAAGAAATAAAGACAGTTTGCAAAGTGGAATACTGTAAAAGTTATGTTACTAAAAATGAATTAAATGAGGGAGCAGGCAATTTTCTTTGCATTCAACCTGGATGGTCAGTTCACACACAAGTTGAGCTCTGAAGAAAATTACCTTTCTTTTGGGAGTAGAGCCATGCATAAACAAAACAATTGGACCACCCAGGGAACTGGAAATAACAGGAAAATTACCCACCATTTCTGTCATGTGATTGTTGGTTCTATTTCAATTTTTATCAATAGAGTTTTGGGTTTTTTTTTTTTTTGCTCTACACATCATGTGGCTCTCTTGATTTCCAGAACCATTTATCAAGTCAGGGTGTTTTTAAGCTTGTCTATATTTTGATATAGAATTGCTATAGGACAAATGGACTTATTTGAATCAAATTCAAAATAATTTCCTATAAGATCTTTAGGAATTTACAACACACACACACTCAGTTTCTGTAGGTTCTCTAACATGTCCTGACTTTGAGGGATCTGACATGCTCATAATTTAGTTCATCTGAGACTTCCAGAAGATTGGCATGGAGTTCAGATTAAATTGGCTTAGTCCAACAAACCCCTCTAAGCTTGCTAGAGAAGCAAATACTTCAGAAAAGAGATGCTGCTTTACTTGAGGTGAGGTCCGGCATTTTCTCAAAACTCTGAACATACACTTCAACACCCAAAGAATTCAGTGCCCTTCATAAGGGCTCAAGTAAGGAGATGACACTGAAAGCTTGGAGCCCTGGTGAATCTAAGGCGGGTCTGTGTCCCCCATACAACAGGGAATGGCAGAATAAGGGAGAGTTCTCAATTTATTATATAATTGAGCTTAGGGCTGACTACACTAGTAAGTATGTGCACTACACACTTACTCCTCTGGGAGAATGTGTGTGTGTGTGTGTGTGTTTCTGTCTGTCTGTCTGCCTACGTGTCTGTATTGTGGGAAAGTGTATTAAACATTATTCCTGAGCAGGTATGTCAAAGTAGTTAAGTTTCTCTTACAGCAGACAAAAATGACAGAGAATTTTACTTACTCAGTAGAATTGATGAAATAGATTATAAGAGATCCGATGCTTAGTACAAAAACTAGGAGCACCTAAAAACAAAGCAAAACAAAGCAGGGACAAATGTGCAAATCTGTTTTATTGGCATGGTACAAATAAACCAATACCACTGCGCTTCCTCTTTTTAAAATCAATAAACTAAATTTTATTGTGACAACAGAGGATATACTATAAGTGGAAGAACAAACAAAGGAAACAACTAAATCACATAGTACATTAAAAACTTCATCAACAACAAAGAAAAACCCCTTATGTCCATGTCTTGAAGTTCATTTTGCTTAACATCATCTTATATAGCCATATGTACATAGCTATTATGTAACTGAAATCCCTCTGTACATCACCTTGATAATAAAAATATGTAAAAGAAAGGATCAAACTAACAAATTTTAACACTTACTATACACTGACGAAACTGTGACACTGTGGAAGAATACATGCAATGACCAACTAAATAAAATGTGACAAACAAAAAATATTGTGTATATTTATTACTGTGGGGGAGAAGAGAGGATGAGAAAATCATTATTCTCATGTTCATTTTGGCCATCATTCATTCAAAATATGTATTGGGCATTTCATTAAACCAATAAATATTTACTTCTCTTGCCTAAATATAGCTCTAATATGTGTCAGAAGAAATAGATTGTGTGTCCTGCCATTCCTAGAGGTGGTTCTTAATTACATGGTATAAGAGCTATCAGAAAAGATTTTAGATTTGAGCTGCCTATGATAGAAGAAACAGATCCTCACATGACCACCCTAAAGGATAGTCTAAACTTCGACAAGAGGGAAAAGGGTGAATGTGAGAGGAAAAGGAATGTGTGTAACATACCAATGAAATAAATTTGAAACAAAGCTAGACCTGTGGAATGCAGTCGGAGAACTGTCCATTCAAAGCCCTCCAGGCACTTCTGTGAACTCTTGGCAGCCTCTCTGAATTTTTTATTTTATTTTATTTTTATTGTGAAAATACTGTACAGAGGGGTTACAATTACATGGGCAAGATAATGAGTACATTTCTTATCAAGCATTGTAGCCT